GGAGTTCAGTCATCCTGTGTGCCCACAATATTAGTTGATTAGTTGAGGACCATGATTACAATGATGATTAAGAAAGCGGGGAGGGAAACCATAATAATTTATGGAGCTTTTTAAAAAGAGGAAACTTCCTGTTTTGTTGTTTTGAGACACAAGTTGCAAGAATAATTGCTCTTTCTGTGCGGAAACAGCCTATTCAGTTTCACAGAAATATATAGCATATTTTAAAGTGAAAAAATAATTAATTTTCCTATTGTTAAGTGAGCAGTATCTGTGAAAACAAGATACCTTGTTGAGGTGGTTTTTGGCAAAAAACCAAAAAAACAACCAATCTGCTATTCAGAGAAATACTGTAGAAGTATGGTTGGATGAAGGATCATCTAAATTCCTAATTTATAGAAACAGCTTTGTTGCTTTGAGACAAAATTAGATGACATTTGTAGATGTATTTGCTCTTTCTCCTGAAGATAACCCATGTTAATTTCAGACAGGGGAAGGAGTTTGACTGTGTAAACAGCTATTTTAATTTACTAATGGACAATAATAAAGGTTTACTTACAAGAGAATGAGCAGCCTTTGAAGGAGCTGTGGTTAATGGAGTGCTGAGGATCTATGATTATTTTATTCTGAGTTTCTTTATAGTTTAGGGAGTTCTTTTATTTATTTTTTTCAGCTGCATGAAGGCTCACGTTACAGCTTTTGTAGGTCCAGAGCTCAAGCACGAAGGGTATAATGGTACACTTTACCAGGGCCCAGAACACCAGGGGGTCTAGTCCAGATGGTGATCCCATTACCACAACAGAAAGGCTTGAAATGTACAGTGCAAGTTAGCTCCTATCTACAGAAGTCCCCGCTGTGAGATTTGCTGAGAGCAATCAGACACAGAAACATCATTGTGCATCTTGAGTTGTGGGACAGCCCAGGCTCCTTCTTCAAACAGACAGTGCGTGTGCAGTGAATTCTAGGGCTTACAGCTAGAGGGACAGTAGGATTTTGTGCTTCCCTGCGTGACACGCTTTCTTAAGAACCAAAAGTCCCGAAATGCCATGTTGTGCATATGGAGAGAGGGTGACAAAGAACCATATTACAAGGATTGATACCAGGGATAGTGGAAGCAAGCCAAGTTTCACAGAACATACTTTCTCTCACACACAGTTTCTGTTTATAAATAAAATCGTGCAGCCAGAAACACAAGGAAGCGAAACAAAATATAAGAACAGAAGCCAAAGGAGTGCTCAGATTTTTCAGATTAGATAAGGCAGGACTGCAGTCTGGCTTAGGCAATAGGGAAGTAGTAGATGAACAACAGCAAGAGGAAAATAATTTTTAGAGCTATTATACATTTGCTTTCTTATCAAATGAATAAACACTGCAGTCTCCAGACCCTTGGATGCTTGCACTAATTAAGCATTTAAAATGAAACATCCATGGTATAGCTAAAACAAATAAAATTATACATCACTATCCATACATGAGTCAAACTGAGCATCCTAATATTCACCACAGACCTTCCAAAACTGGTTTTAAGAAGTTTCCAAAAGGCCAAAACAGTGGGGACTGATCTAATTTCTAGAGGGAGACTGTTCCACAGAGTAGATGCTGCTACTGAAAATCAGCAACTAGGAGCCTCTGTCCTCCATACTGCTGAGAAGTCTAAAAGGACCAGAGGGACACATTATTTCCATCCAGTGCCCAACAAAGGTCATTCACAAGAGTGACCAGTTGCTGTCTCTCTCATATTCCAGGTTCAGATAATTTACTTTGTCTAGAATACACCAGAGCTGCCCAATGACCAGTTTCAATAACCTTCCCCAAAAAGTAAGGTTAGAGACACGGTGATAGGTATGGGTCCAAACTGAGTCCAGGGAGACCCTCTTAAAAAGGGGGTTTTGCACGGCCTCTTTTGGGACTGCAGATTACACCCCCTCCTGAAGTGAAGAATTGATAATCTCCCAGAGCCATCCTGTCACATTCCCTCCTGCACCCTGAAGGAGCCAGGAAGAGTGCATGTCCAAGCCACATCCCCAGGCCTATGTCTTTGGCAGTATCAACTGATGAAGAAATACTGCCAGAGTCAGTCAGTAATGTCATCACCATTGCTACCACCACCAAACGAAAATTGGCAAAAACAACAGCAACTGCATAGTCTTGCACAATCTGATTTGTGTTTTCTCAAACAACCTGGCTTATAGCCTAAACTGACAACAGAGCCTATCCAATAATAATAATAAAAAAGTTCCATCTGTTGTCCTGATGTTTCAAGAAATGCAGAAGCTGGCAAAATCAATTCCAAAAGATTTTAGTGGGCATATATTTTCTGAATTTCTTCTCAGATGTAAGTTTCAAGTGGACAGCAGTTATCAAAAGACTTTTTGAAGCCTTTAGCAATCAAGGGGTGTTGTCTTCCGGGAATCTCTGGTGGCCTTCAGGGGCATTGCTCCACAAGTTTCTGGCTGTGAAATGCTGTTCTTTAGGTTGGGTTCCTGTGAATAGTTGGGAGTTCTGCTACTGTACCAGCCTCCGTGCTGCGTGGCAACCTCCCTGCCTGAGCTGCTTGAGGCCACCTCGGAGCTGGCAGTAGAGTTTCCCAGACTTATGGTTCTGGGGGACTTCAACCTGCCATCCCATGGATGGACCTCGGAGGCGGCTCAGGAATTCCTGGCCACCATGGCAGCCATCGGCCTGTCTCAGATTGTGCGAGACCCAACCCGAGACAGTGGCCACATGTTAGATTTGGTCTTCTTGTCGGAGCAATGGCAAAGTGATCTGAGGGGAGATTTACAGCTTTCCCCCTTGTCATGGTCAGATCACGTCCTGGTGATCCTGAGTTTCTCCTATGCCACCCCCCTTCGCAGGGAGGCAGGACCCATGCGTCTGGTCTGCCCCCTGGCACCTGATGGACCCGTTGGGGTTTCAGAGAGAGCTGGGGGGTATTCCCGTGGATTTGCCGCACAGTCCAGCGGAGGCCTTGGCTGCTCCCTGGAATAGAGAGGTGGCCAGGGCCTTGGACATCAGCCCCGACACTCCCCGTGGTTTACGGACGAGTTGAGGGTTCTGAAGAGGGTCAAGAGACATCTAGAGCGCCACTGGAGGAAGACAAAGACTGAATCCGACTGAACACAGGTTAGAGCCGCTATCAAGGCCTACATTGTGGCAATAAGAATGGCAAAGCACCATTACTTCTCTTCTCTTATTGCGTCCGCAGAATGCCACCCGGCGGCCCTGTTTAGGATCGCTAGGTCCCTCCTTGGTAAGGGGGATGTGGTTCATTTGCAGGGCTGCATGGAGAAATTTTTGGAGCATCTGTAGGACAAAGTTGCTTAGATTCGTTCCACGTTGGACTCTGAGCATGGGGCAGGATCTAGGGAGATACTGGGAGACCGTTCTTACCCAGTTATCTGGGAACAGTTTGATCCTGTTGATCCTGAGGAAGTGGACAGGATCCTGGGGACAGTGAAGGCCACCAC